TCAACGCAGTTCCTTTGGATCCGGAGGCTATCGACTGCGATTGGTGGGATACTTTCTGGGAGCGAAACTCTTCTCTCTCAGGTTTGAGTTTTGATTCCTTTCGGGTTTTCCCTTTTTCATTTCATTTCCCTTCTCCTCGGTTACAAGAATTCAATTTGGTTGCTTCACGGTTTAATTGCTTGTTCTAGAGTGTTCTGTGCACCATTAGATTCTCATTTCAGTTGGTGTTTTTCTTGAGGTTGTGTGGCTTTTGTAGCTCTTGGCGGGTTTTTTTAACTGAGATTGGACTTGTTTGAAGGTGTTTCTATCCCATTAGACGAAGATGATGCGTTCAAGTTCTTCTTTAGGGCTTCAAAGACAACATTTAGCTATATTTGTTCCCTCGTTAGGGAGGATCTTATCTCTAGACCTCCCTCGGGACTCATCAACATCGAGGGAAGGCTTCTTAGTGTCGAGAAACAAGTCGCCATTGCTCTGAGAAGGTTGGCTTCTGGTGATTCTCAAGTCTCCGTCGGAGCAGCCTTTGGTGTTGGCCAGTCCACTGTTTCTCAGGTACCAAATTAACCATCCAGAACTGTGATTGGTAAAATGGATCGCCATTTGAAACAACGTTTTCCAGGTTACGTGGAGATTCATCGAGGCCCTTGAGGAACGCGCCAAGCATCATCTCAGATGGCCAGATTCTGACAGAATAGAAGAGATCAAGTCCAAGTTTGAGGAAATGTACGGTCTCCCCAATTGCTGCGGAGCCATAGATACAACTCACATCATCATGACTCTCCCGGCTGTGCAAGCATCAGATGACTGGTGTGACCAGGAGAAGAACTTCAGCATGTTCTTGCAAGGAGTCTTTGATCACGAGATGAGGTTTCTCAACATGGTAACCGGCTGGCCTGGGGGCATGACAGTCTCCAAGCTTCTAAAGTTCTCGGGCTTCTTCAAACTCTGCGAAAACGGTCAGATATTAGACGGAAATGCAAAGACTCTATTCGAAGGAGCGGAGATTAGAGAATATGTGGTTGGAGGGGTCAGTTACCCTCTTCTTCCTTGGCTTATAACTCCTCACAGCAGCGATAATCCCTCTGATTCCACGGTGGCGTTCAACGAGAGGCACGAGAAGGTGAGGTCAGTCGCAGCTACTGCTTTTGCACAGCTAAAAGGAAGCTGGAGGATACTGAGCAAGGTAATGTGGAGACCAGACAGAAGCAAACTGCCTAGTATAATACTGGTGTGTTGTTTATTGCATAACATCATCATCGATTGTGGTGATTATCTGCAAGAGGATGTTCCTTTATCGGGTCATCACGACTCCGGCTATCCAGACCGGTACTGCAAGCAGACAGAACCACTTGGTAGCGAGCTCAGAGGATATCTGACTGAGTATTTGCAGAGGTCTTAACCTTGAGTATTTGAGATTTTCATCTCTTCCCAAAGGCCACCAAACCCATTGAACCATTCATTCAGCATCAGTTTGTCTACTGATATAGCCCAAGAAACAGCCCAAACAAATGTTGTACAATTAGCATGTTTGATTATAAATCGATTTATCCTTAAATGTAACCTTTACCTGAGCCTAATCTTTTGAGAAGACTAGATCATTTCCCAAACAGAAGAGTTTGTTTATTCTGCCAATGTAAATCTACTAGGAGTATTATTTTATTTGGTTGTTGGGTTCCATTATGATTCTCTGCGTTGAAAGTTTGTAATTTCAAAAAATTCTACAATAAAAAGAGGAATATGCTGGTGGATGCGTATCGGTTTTGGTTCTTTGTGCTCACAAGTAACGACGGACGAAGATTCCCAGCATTTTCACATGACAAACTATAAAACTATATTCAGAGTCTATAACAATTACGTAATCTGATTTATATATTTGTTTTATGAATCTATAATTTAATACTAGTAATCTCAGATTAGAGGCGTGATCCGGTTATTAAAGTGGACCTTTGGCTTTCGTAGATAGCGTCACAAACCAGAAAAGTTCATTTCTCTATGTGTAATAAACCATTATTATAAGTCGAATGTAAATTTACAGGAAAATGACTTCTTTTTATCGTTTATATGTGACAATTGAGACATCAGAAAATGGGAAATAATGTGTCTCAAAGGTTGCACAAAGAATCATTAAAAGAAAATTACATAAATATTGAAAAATTCTTAAAAATGTACCATGCTATAACTTGTGTAGTAATATTTGGTACAACTGTTGTACCATGGTACAACTATAGTATTACTTTGTATAACAGTACAACTAGATATTACTTGGTACAATTATCAAGGTATGGTACAACTAGTTATTTGGTACAACTAAGATAAAAAAAAACATATTGTACAACTAGCGGTTCTCAGATATTGACTTAGTCAACCGGAGTTTATGGGACATTCGTTCGGATATTCTCTTGTATGAATCTAGTATTTAAATAAAATAAAAGTGAAGACCATTTTGGTATGGATCTTCTTAACTGGTAATGAGCACTTGTCCTTACTCCTTGGGGTTGCCTAAAAATTTCCGGTTTGAGGAATCGGTTGACGGTGGTGCACTCTCTCTACCTAGAGATTG